GTATTATAGTTCTGCTATAAACAGAATTCTTCCAGTGATTTCATTATTTACTGTTTACGTAAAATACATATATTTATTCTTTTATAATAATGCCAGTTTATTTTTTTCTACCTGCACCTGATAGTATTTTTATGCAATATGTTGACAGTATTTTGAAGCATCTCATGCTTGAATTGTCCTAAAGGTTTGCTGAAGAGTGACAGATGTGCGTTTGAGCTCCATTAAGCTTAGTCATAGTTATAAATTCAGGCATCATTAGCTGTAACTGTAATAAAAAGAGCTCCATCTGTCAGCTGTTTTCAGTTTATTTTGGCTTAAAATGACGAACGTGTACGACAACATATTTGTATTTTTTTATCTTTCTGAGTAAAAAGTTTTAAACTTGTTTAATTTTTTTAAAGTGTCATCGGAGCAGCCAACCAGAAAACCATAATATTCACGAAAAAGCATTTACCTCCTCGCAGATGGCTTAAGGTAGTGTTTTTATTGAAGCCTATAAACCTTGTGCTGTCAAACCGTAATGCTCTTACAGAGTCCTTGCTCTGTCAGAAATTTTAAATTAAACATCAAGTTTCTCGTCATTAATGCCAAACATAAGAAAACTACGAAATGTTCACTTAATGTATGCCAGCATTGTGATTATAGCACAATATTTGTGTTTGCAAAATTATTAGTATTTATTTATTTATTTATTCATTTAAACCATAGTGGATTCTGAAGATGGTGTAGCCGTTGAAGCTCCAGGAAACCTCCCCTTAGATACCGACTTCCTTCTTGGACAAGACCTCGTGTTTGGTGATCCAGATCACGACAAGATTCTAAGCCTGGAAAAGTTTTCAGGTTTGTACATTTAAATAAAAATAGAGTGAGTTATGTGAAGTATGAAAAAAAAGTACAATTGTTTTTATGCAACACATACAGTGTACTGGAAGAAACGTAAATCTGTTGCTCTTCAATGAACGCACTGTGGCTTCAAAAAGAAAAAAACTTTGTTTTTGAGAATATTATTGGTTCTCATTAAGATTATTTTGACTCCCAGCTCTCCAGCTTCCATTTAGCTTGTAATCCCCCCCCCCCCCCCCAAAAAAAAAAAAAACAAAACAACAACAATAACACAATACACAACTTTTTCTCTGATTGGACCAGACTCTCAGAGGAAACTTTAAAAACACTATTTTGCAGCTACTCAGGGTTTTGGCTCAGTGTGAAACACATGAGGGCAGAAGGAGAAGTGATTTGGTTTTGGCAATCACGACATAATCACCACACAACCTAGCACTAGTGATGCCTCTCGTTTTTGCGCATGACAGAGATCTTAAAAAAAGCAAGCAGAGGCGTCTCTAATGAAGGAAGGGCACATAATGTCATAAAAGTGATCTGTTGGGGTCCTAACAGCAGCAACAAATGTGCTTATTTGTCTGAGTACAAATTTAGGATGTTTCCTGCATCAGATGGAGGAAAGTAGCATTTGTTGTTGTAATGTAAGGCCTGTCGAAAAGAAATACTGTTTGATTTGAGTGCTAAAAATGTAATCATTTCAACGTTAAAGGGGAAATATGCAAAATCCACTTTTTTAGCCATTAAATACATTTTATTTTGTACTTAGAGTCTCTAGGAGTGCAGAAAAGGTTAATTTAGTCTCTCTTGATGCTACATAGATATTTTTATTTTCCGTTTTGGTCATATTTTTAAACCAGTTCATATTTTTAAATTGTTTTTATTTTCTGTGATGCTTTCTGAACCATTACATCACAGTAGTTTCAATGTAACTGCCAAATAAGGTCTGGTATTACCAACTACAATTCGGTGGTCTTCATTCTCCTCTGGTTCTGGATCAGACTCTGGCTCCAACATGTAAGGCTGGAGGGACTATTCTTCCCTTGTTGACATCTTTTAATTTGTAAATAGAGGGGTTTACAACTGTATATTTTATCAAAGTAGAATAGACCGGTCTGGAAGCTGGAGGGGAGCGGGACTTAAAGAGACAGCATCAAAATTAGGGATGCTACCGAAAACCGGTATTTTTTCAGTACCGGTTCCACGTGACAAATTTTTTGTAGCAACTCAGGCTGCTAGCAGCTCGCTACCTGCATGCGCAGAAAAAGACGCGACTTCTCATTCATTCAGCGCAGTGTTTACAGAAGTGGCCTATAGAAGCTAGTTGTTAGTATGATGATTCTGAAGTTGCTGTGCAGTCAGAGCTGATTCAATAATTATCTGACCTGCTTGTTTATAAGAACCTGCCTCTGACCGGATGCTCCAGTGAAGCATTTAGTTTTGGAACGTAGCATCATGTTTAAACTAAAGTATGCATTGAGTAACTTTAGCATTGACTGCTCGACGTCACTATCATGTTTTTCTGTGGATTATCAGTCACCAAGGACATGGAAAATTAAAAGAAAAAAGACGAAGCAGCTGAACTTCTGTTCTGTATCTGAAGACAAGATTTACTTCATGAATCCAGGTTAGTGTAGCTAAATGAAAATTAAGGAATAAGTGGTTTTATTGTAAGTTCTATATTGTTCTAATGTAAAACCATTGCATATTCATAGTTTGTTTTTGTTTTTTTAGCGTTTCCCCCACCATTAACCAAGCCCCCCCACACAGAGTTTCAGGTGTGTAGTTATTTACTTATTTATTTATTCTAAATAACACCAGATCACATTGAGAGCTATTTTTGCAGTTGTTCCTCCACATCCAAACGTCAGACTTGGGGGGAGAAAGAAAAAATCTGATGAAAATATGGTTCATATTCTGTCACCAACACTGACCCACACAGAGTCATGTGCACTAGTTTTTTGTTTATTTATTTATTTTTGGTGTGAAACCCCCCGCCACCACCACCAATTCCCTAGGGGGTAATAGGGCTGTGTATTGGCAAGAACTTGGTGATACGATACATATATGACAAAGGGGTAACGATATGATATATCCCAATATATTGCGATACAGTAAACAAGGCGATATATTGCGATTTTTTTGGTCCAAAAACTCTGTTAAATAAAAACCTTTTACTATGAAAAACCAAAATTCATTGTCTCAGAAAATTCTAATATTACATAGACATACTTTTGATACATTTAGCTGTGTTCTGCTTTGTATGTGTTTTATTTTATTTGTTTCATATTTCTTATTTCATCCATGTTTTCAATTATCAGACTAAATTTGCCAATAAATAGGTTGAAAATATATTTTTTGCAGCTTTTAGTTTTTAATATTAATTTACAATATGGTCACCCAACACTTAATAATAGCCTCTACCTCAAGAGGTAGAGTAGCCAAATGGCTGGCTCACTGCTGCCAACTAGTGGTCAGAGGCTGAACTACAACATAAAAATGAACGGCTGGCAGGAAAGCTGACATTTTAAACCTTAATAAAAAATCGATACAGGGCTTTAGAATATCGATACAGTATCGGGAAATGAAATATCGCGATATTTCAATGTATCAATATTTTCTTACACCCCTAGGGGGAAACGCTGGTTTGATTCCAATAGAAAAGTATCGATAAGAGAACCGTTAAAATACCGGATCGATAAGCAGTATTGATAAGAGTAGTAGTACCGATAAAACCTTAATGATACCCATTCCTAATCAAAATTTCTGAGAGACTCCTCAGAAAAGAGGTGAAAGAGGGGCTTGTGGAGTTACAATAAGGAGGAATTCAGACCAAAGCATTGCAGCTCCACTTGACCCCAACTGAATAATTTAAATATGAAAAATGATTTAAAAGCGTGATATATTTCCTTTACTTTATATAAAACCCTCCCACTCATACCCACTGTGCACACATAAAAAACAGAACAACTAACAGCCATTCATTTATTACTATGTCTATTTATTTTGGCTTTTTAGTGCTAATTTTTAGAGCTCAAAACTTGTCAGTACAATAAAACTATTTGTTGCTAAAAAAAGAAAAAGTATGTTGGTAAAGTAAGCCAGCTTAATCCAATTCTCAAAACAAATGCAACAAATGTGAGAGAAGAGAATACTTCATAATATATTTTGTTGATCTTAATCAGGGCTAACATTAGCCGCTGTTTTAAGATATCAAACTATAACTACAATGGCAGAAACAGATGAGATTAAAATGCCTGCCTGGAAAGGCATCATGGTGATTGGGAAATAACTTGATGCATCACTACCACCTCATGGTGGTATTAGTAGGGTCTTACTATCAGGTATCAGTGGGAGAGAAAAAGATCAAAGCAACAGTCACTCTAGCTATCAAATATTAGAAAGTCACTGCCCTCCCTCAGTTCTGACATATTAATGTGTTTTCAGACTTTTATATTGAAATAATTCATTTGAACTTTTTATTTTACACATTATATATTTATATTTTGATATAAATCAGACAAATGTTTCCATAGTTTAGTTTTAAGACTGCAACAGTTAAAACAAACAAACAAAAAAAATCAACATCCTGCTCCTGTTTGCCAGTATGAGTCTCTGTCAGACTGACTGATCTGGGAAATGACAAAGTAAAAGAAGGAACAGAGACACCAGTATTATATTAGGGTCATAAAAATAGGACCATTACCATCAAGGACACCATTATAGGGGGGCATTTCATCATCATCATCATCATCATCATCATCTGCTACCTCTGCTCCCACTACTCCACCGCCATTATGGGTTCGCCCATCATCATCATCATCATCATCATCATCATCATCATCAATGCTACCATCATCTTCTGCCCTCATCATCATCATCATTATCATCATCATCAGAACCAGCAGCCTCACCATTACAGTCATCATCATTATCATTAGGCTTCGTAATCATCCATGAGGGGTTTCCAGGGGCCAGGATAAAAGGGCATTTCAGCTCTCGCATTTCTCACTTTGTGCTTCAGCATCTGGAAAGGAAGTTGGTCTCTTTCGGGCTCGTTCGCCCTCTGAGAGCTCCGTGTTTTGGAGTCTTCAGGCTCTTCTCTCTGTGTGCTAGAGAAAAGAAAACATCCCTTTTTGTTTATACTTTGACCCTTGAGCTTGTCTGTAGCATCGTGAGTATCTTTTGTTACACTTTCTCTGAAAATCGTGAAGTTATAGGTTGTCTGCCCTGCAGTTAGTTAGACATTTTTTGTGATTTATTTTGTTTGGATTTTCATGCATCTGGTTGTGGTTTTCTATTTTCATCCGACCGTTTTGTTCTTTGTGTTAAAAATTTTGAAACTCGAGGTTCATTTAGCACATTCAGAAAGTGCAGTCATTTTGTTATGTCCTCAAACTGTATATATTGTGAGCTATCTATATATCTATAGATATCTACAGTATATTACAGTAAAAAGGTCACTTTTCTTTTGCAACTTAATCTCTTGTTGACCTTTGGTCTCTTAGTTTGTGACCACTACATAGAAGCTTTTACAGAATTAAATAACGTGTCAGCAAAAAAAGAAAAAAAAATAGCTAAACATATAAAAATATGCACAACTGTTAAATGCTGCAACCACAATAAGTGGGCTTATAATGAAAAGAAAATTCCCTTAGGATAAAATACTTGTCAGGATCCCTGTTAGTAAAATACTATATATATA